TTTGCACATAGGTTCAAAATGTATTAAAATCAGATAATTAAGCCAATTATAACAGTTGAGCGACCGTGCTAGAACCACGGAACTAGGGAATGCCTAACACCTTCTCCCGGGTTAACAGAATTTCTTACTCGGATTTCTGGTTCGCGGACTGTTAAACAGAGTCATTCTTTTCCTCGATTCGGGATTTTAAACCGGTGACTTGGGACACCATAAATCTCCCAAGTGGCAAATCTGAATCTTTTAATTAAAAAATCCCGTTTCGATTGTCCTTTAATTGGAAAAATTCCCTTTATTATACCCTTTACGGGGTGTAGTAAAAAAGGAGGTGTGACAATCCATATACAAACGTAACATTGTATTTTATTCCAGTCCCCCTGTGCATTACAACACAGTGAATCATTTGTGCAGACACATACTCTATTTGGACCTGCATGATTGTTGGCTTCCAGACCACCCATATTCTGCCTCCTGGATGAGCTCCCAAATTATGTGTAAGTGACCACCCTCTACATAGATTAAGAGAAGCTTTGTGAGCATTACTTCTCTTAATCTTAGTTTCCAGGAGACCAAACAGGCTAACCTTACATTGGTGTAGAAACAGATTCACATCACTCTGTTTCGTTAGCCTATTAAGTCCCCTGGTGTTCCAGAAACCTATGCTATCCATTAGCTAGGGGGAGTCCCCCACCCTTCCTCTATTTAGGGACACTCTGCACACTCTGTTGCTTCTGTTTTGTATTATTTTTTCCCTGCTTTATCATCTCCATGGTGCTGGCCTCCCCCAATGCCCCAAATGAATTCACTAGATTTAGTGTAGAACTAGTTCCTCCCTTGTCTGTTTGTGGACTTTTTAGCCTCACATTATTCCCCTTCTCTATAGATGCACCAGGAGCCAATCCTTGTTGTCCTACATTTTCATTTACCCTGCCCCCTTTATTATTCTGTCCCACTAGATGTTGTTTCCCTTCAGTCACATAATTGTCGTGCTATGGCCTGGCTCCTTCCCATTCATGTTTTCCTTCTGCTTCTCTGCTTGGATGTATCTCCTGCATTCCTGTTTTTCATGTCCATAGTTGTTATATTCCTGACATAGTGTAGGTTTCTATTCATAGTGCACTCTTTGCTCTATGATTTTGCTAACTTCATTCTCAAACATTACACTCTGTGGGTAAGGCTGGTCGAGTGCAACCTCCACAAGCACCCTAGCAAATGTCATCCTCTCCTTCCATGTTGTAGCTCTATCAGCCTTCAGAGGATTACCAACTAGCCCTGCTATTTTTTTGAGTGCACTCTTACCCAAGTACTTTATGTCAAGTCCTGGTAGTCTAATCCATATCGGCACTTTGTTAAAGGTTTCCTTCCTTGTGTCTATATCAGGAGACCAAGGCTTTACAGTAACTGGCTTTTTATCAAACATCTGAACTCCATCTTCCACAGCCTTCACCCTACTTTCCATTTGTGTAAATCGTAATATAAATACTCCTCTATTGACCTGTGCTACTTTGTCAATTCCCATTTTCCCCCAAATTCTGTGAAAATATCCATTCATAACTGCCGGTGGGGGACTAGAACCCAAGACATAGCAAATTACAGCATTGTTCCAATATTCCACTTCCTCCTTGATATCCTCCAACGTAATTTTGATATTTTGCTTTATTGTTTCCTGTGATTTCAACTCCATTCCTTCCATTACAGGGCTATTGGTCACAATTTAACTCCATAACTTCATTTTAGGTTCTAGGTATTGTTCTACCCCCAGGATTTCCCCACATTCTAACTCATTCCCCGCCATGTCAGCCGATGATTGTTTCCCTGATGAATTATGTTCCTTACCATTCCCAATTAACGTCTTCTCCGGTGTTCCTTGTGTAGTATTAGATGTCGAACTTTTATGCAGATCTAACGGCATTATACCTTGTAAAACATTGATGCTACAAGTTTTCTTTGCATCCTCCGAGTTCGGAACTCCAATTCGAACAGAAGAAGTTTGTTGCATGCACTCCTAGCTCTGTTGCCTTCCTCCTCCAGTCTTCGATTTCCTCGTCATTTCAGCAGTTGCTGAGAGGGAATTTCATTCTAGAGAGAGAAAGTCAGGTTTTTGTTAGGTCGGGACTTTGCGCTCTTTCTTTCTTTCTTCTACTGTGGTTCTTTATAATATTCATTGTCTGACTCGCCGGGTTGTACTTGATACTTTTATCTGTTATACTTTGAACTGCTTTACTGTTAATCTAATGTACAAGTTATTTAAATAAGCATCCTTTTAACTAAAAGCCTTGTCACTACTTCGACGAGGTTAGACAAAATACTTACCAGTATATGGGGTCGGTTGTACTGATACCGCACTTCTGCACGTCCCGTGCAGATTTTGGAGTAGAGTTGCTGGTGACGTCGGGTGCTGATTCGGAAGATGTTCGCGCGTTTGGATATAGCTGCCACTTGTTCTTGGTAGTTTAGGTTTTGCTAATCTGTTTATCTAACCTTCAAACAGAACGTGTATTTATTTGTATCAGTTTTGAAATTCCAAATCTTAGAAGCTCGTGATTCGTACTACCTGGTCTTGGTAAACTCGTAAATGTTCAGTTATCTATTTTCTATTTTCTTATGATCTCAGTCGAGTTGTATTTTCTGTTATTTGGCTTACCTAGCTGGTTGAGTTAGGTGCCATCACGACTTGTGATTTTTGGGTCGTGACATAACCAAAACTGTCCACGTTGGGGCCATGTGTAATATGTGTGGTTATCAAGCTTATTTTTTTTTTATCTAATTAAAACTTTAATACTAATTATAGACTGCTGACAGTAGGGGTGAGGCCATGATTTACCAAATAAAGAGCCTTGTTGGTTTTTAATTATATCATCATCATTTATAGAAATTAAAATTAACACTTGTATTTTTTAGGGTACGTGTATGGTCTTGGATAATCTATACTGACCTCATATTGTCCCCAATATGGAAAGTTGGCGTCTTGTACTCATAAACACGTGTTTTCTATGAGATGAAAATTTTAAATTATAGGGACTAATTAAGATCATGATTTTTTTGCTAATTGACACAAATGAATCTTTTTGAAAAGTTAAAATACCAGTGTCATTATAGAGAAATGATTATTACTACCTAATTTTCTATCTAAATGATCTTTGTGCATGTCCACTATTTTGTACTTGTGTTCCATCGGTAATAACTATTGTATTTATTATTGTCTTGACTGCGGTTTCCTTTGTAGACATTGATAAACCTAGGGTCTTTACATACAAAACACTAATAATTTTGGTGCCATTATTCTAATTATAAAGACCGTATAAAGTGAATATTCATCGAACTTACTTCTTTTCGGTTTTTATCGATGGATGAGCCTAATCAACTTTGGGATTGTTACAAAAATAACCAGCCAGATTCATTATATTGTTTACTTATTACAGTATATATATATAATATATATATATATATTATATATATATATATATATATATAATATTATATATATATATATATATATATATATATATATTAATTATTACACATATCATTGATGCATTATATATGTATATATTATACATTTTTCGGCTATTTTTAGTTTAAGAAATTAGATGAACGATTATTTGGATTAATTCTTCATCAATTTTTATGACACTTGCTTCAATAAAAACCAAAACGCGCGACGCTTGTCTAATCTTACGTCTATATTAAGTTATTTATTCACACAATTTAGAACTTGTTTCTCTAATTAGGCATATAGAGTGGCTTCCTTGAAAGGAGACATGTATGTCAAGGTATATAACTATCATTATATAGATTATTTCACTAAGTTATATAAAAACTTGGTCTCCAAGATTTGGTCCCAAGCTTCAAAAAGCGACAAATTGAAATGCTGATGATATCCAACGTAATAGATGAGATCTCTTGAGAACTAAACAAATAATCAGAGGCGATGTTAGGATTTAAAGTTTATGAATTTTAAAATAGCCATCGAATTTATAATTCGTTTTAGCTATTAGGTTTGCTATGATAAATATTTATATATATATTTAATAAATTTTCTAATACAAATATAAAATTTAAGCAAAAATTATTTAAGTCGTCTGAACCGGTATGTAAAAAAAACAGAAATCTAAATTTAAAAAGGCTATTTTTTTTTTTTT